AAACATAGCATAAAGATTTAGATTAGATCCAATAGATGAAAAAGTACAGTTTCAAATCAAGCCTCTCCAGCATGCAGAGCACATGTCATAGTTCCAGTCTGTGCAGCTAAATGAACAATTTCATGGAACAACAAAGACGGCACAGTGCTAGCACTCAGTGAATAACACTGTAAATAGACATATTTTCTAACCTGATGGTTATTGATCTGCAGTGAATACAGTTCATTCCTGCATGACCACAGGAGAAAGCTGAAATAATTTCACGTAAATACCTCAGTCTGTTACATTATCCCTGTAATGAGTGGGTAATGAAGTTTCTATAAAGAAAATGCACAATTCAGCGAGATCATGGATGCTCTTGAGAATCCTGATCTCAATGTCAATGAAACAAGAGCCCTCAGAAGATATTGATGAGGAATATTTAGGTCATGGCACATGGCCACTCACTATTCATCAATAATGTGCTCAAAAGATACAAAACATCACTACCACTCTCTGCAAATGAAAGTGAAGAAAATGAACCAAAGCTGTCTTTAATAGAAGAAGCGTGTCATGAGAAAAAATACTGAAAATGATTCATTGAGTCAAATGATATTTTTAATTTGCATCTTTAGTTGTAATATCCATGGATGGTGAGAGTCTATCCCAGCTGTCATAATGTGCTCTTTGTGTGTGAAACAACTCAGAAAATATCCATCTTGTCATGATGTTTAGTCACTTCCTATTTTATTTTGAAATTCTTCGTCCGTTTACTATAGACCAGGGGTCAGCAACCTTTAACACCCAAAGAGCCACTTGGACCCGGTTTCCATCCAAAAGAAAACACTGGGAGCCGCAAATACTTTTTGACATCTAAAATGAAGACAACACTGTATATATTGTTTTTTACCTTTATGCTTTTTGTGAACAACTAAGGTGTGTTGCTTATGAAATCCATGAAGTGCTACAGAGAAAATTACATTTTATTTATGTAATTAACACATTTTTAAATCTTGAAGAAATATAACAAAAGGAAAGACACCCAGCTGAACTAAAATGATCCAGCAAACAAAAACTGTTGTGAGCCGCCACCCTCATATCGCCTTTGAGCTTTTGGAGCCTTGACCTGACTTTTAAAAAATAATTGGCAAAAAAGCACTATGCTGCTAAAAGATGAAAAATAGATATTTGCACAATTCTGTCTAAATATGTATTTTGGTTGCACGTGTTGGTATTTTACCAGGTTATGGTGTGTGGCGGGGTGTGGTCTGCAGCACCGCTGCAGGCGAGGCGGATGCACCTGAGCGGGACCTGCAATCACACCGCCTTAACGTCTGTGCTATCTGTGCTGTTGTGTTTGTATGTGTCAGGCTGTGAGCTGAAAAGCTACAGCCGGCTGTGTGGGTACAGCAACCGTGTGTGAAAAGTGGTCAATAAAGAGATGCTGAAAAGCATGTTCATGGAAACATTGTCGGGTCTGCCGTGATATGTTTACAATGGAACTTCTGCTCCTGAACCTCTGAACAAAGCGTCAGCAAATCGGGGCTGTACGAAGTCAGCAGGTTGCTGACCCCTGCTATAGACAGCATAACAGATGGACACCGCTTCCAGGACATCAGCCGCTGGTTTCTGTCTTGTTTTGAAGCCTTGAGATGATTTTCCATTGCACAAAACCAATGACTTCTATGACCAGGAATTATAAAAATCATTATTTTTGTTCAGTATGATCCACATTGAGTAACTAAACTCACAAACTCAGCAGAAAAGTGTCAGTTTGTCACTAATTGTCTTATAATGTGAGCTGTTTTTTTTTATTTATTTGTGTGTTCTCAAATGTGCAACTTTACAGGACAGCCTGAATGTTTTCATATTTTTATTCATATTTAAACTAGCCAATACCCAGACATATTACACATCCTGATTCATTTCAATGGAAAATTTCAGGCTTTTATAATTTCTGATTTGATATCCACCCTCGCTTTCTGTTTCATATCGGCAGTAAAAGAAATTTAGGACCGCTCTGCCCTGCCTCAGTCTTTGCTTTTACTGATAGCAACCAGCAAAAACACATCCCACATTATGTATTTTGCTAAAAGGGACTTGAAAAGGCTTTTTTTTAAAATAATTGTGAGAGATAGATATTAGCGGATGCAACCTTCTTGAATAATTATAAATAATAATTAATGTTAATCAGCCCTCTGTTGGTGGTTGACCTCACTGTTACCATGGAGACTACAACACACAAACACAATTATTGTGGATGCTAAATAGGTGTGTTGTTCTACAGAATGCTGTGTGTGTGTGTGTGTGTGTGTGTGTGTGTGTGTGTGTGTGTGTGTGTGTGTGTGTGTGTGTGTGTGTGTGTAATTTCATATTTCATTTGAGACAAACATAAGGGTTTTGTATCTGGCAGCACATTAGTGTATGAATTAATGAGAAAGGATGATAACACACACACACACACACACAGTTAATGTATCACTAAATACTCAAGGGTGTGTGTGTGTGTGTGTGTGTGTGTGTGTGTGTGTGTGTGTGTGTGTTGGAGTCAGGGCTGCCTGATTGATTGGCAATATTTTCCAAAGCCTTGTGCTGCTGTGAGATGTCGAGTAGAGAGAAAGTGAACCGTCCCTTTGTTGTTCAGCTTTGAAAACACATCTCTCCTTCTTCCTCGCTGCTCTGTTTCTTAGTTCACACCATGCCAGCGTAACCCACACCTAAATCCAAAGCTTAAAATAATCTCAAGACAGGGAAACATGGGATGTAATGTTAAGAGGACAAGTTTCTATCATCTCCTAATTCACTGCCAATAACAGCAGGAAACGCTGCTGTCAACCCTACAATATTCCACTTATGTAAGATGAAGACAAACAAAAACAAAAAAATCTAAAGAGTTGCAACAATGATAGACATGTAAATAAATGTAATATAAGGCTTTGTTACCATGATTAATTAATAATTATTATAACTTTAGTATTAGAAAGGAGAACCCAAACCTGGATTCTTTCTGATGGCCAGAAGGGGGTGACTTCTTCTATGTGACTGCACAGGAGTCTAAGTGAAAACGACCCACTGATCCCTTTACTTATGACCTCAGTAATCGCTCTCCTGATAAGTTAATGCTCTTTTGTACCTGGCATCAAGTTTCTTTTGTGCTGAACTTCTTCCACGTCAAAGGCTCTGAGTTTAAAGACAGACCAGAAGTGCTGATTATCAGTATTATGATTATGTGAACGTTCATTCATCAACTTAAAAACAATAAAGAGAGCATGCCAGTGAGGGAGCGAGCTGAATGGGAGCACGACCAAAATGCATCTGATGATCGTTCCGAAATAATAATAGTTCCCAGTGGAGCTGCGCAGCCGTGTGCAATAATCACGTTCCAATAACTATAAATGTGTGAATCAAATCAGTTACTGTGCTGACTGATTTACACTTGGGTGGTCTTACTAAGTGGACTGTATGCTATTTGAAAAAAGAATTATTATATAAGACTAATATAAACTTTTTCGTTTTAATTCAACACTAATATTCATTTCACAAGAAATGTTATTTCAATGTAAGTTTAATATCCCTGAGTTTCTACAGAGCCAAGATAATACAGCATGTAGGATGCTTTGAATAAAAACTCCTACATACGTACTCACCTTGAGTTCCTGAGTTTCACCAGAATAAATAAATTAACTGTGTCACCCTGAAGTTCAGCAAAGAATATAAATATGAAAAGTAAGAAGCAGTATATTTGTATGATGACATAGTACTGGCAGAGCTGCCTTATTTATTCCATAAGGGGACAAGTCTGGAACGTGTTCCACACTTTCCATATACATACGATATTTTTGCTGGGCTGGAGTGTTACATGAATAAATCCAGTATGCAGTGGAGTGACTTCTCTTATGTGTCGAAGCAGGTTCTGAATGAATATTGTTCGGTCTTTACAATGCAAGACAGTGAGATGACTTACTACTCATCTTGCTGTTCACAGCGAGGTGCTGTGAAATGTCTCCTTGCTCCCTGGATTAAAAGGAAATAAAAGCATGCCATGTTGTTTCCAGATTTTAAAAGTGAAATTTTAACAGGGTTCACTGAAAAGGTCCACATGAAGAAATAACAGATTCAGAAGTGAGTGAGCTTTTCAGTGCTCAAATACACACACACACACACACACACACACACACACACACACACACACACACACACACACACACACACACAGAGGAAAATATCTGGACACAGACTGATAATCATATCTTCTTAATGGTATTGATTTGATACTGACAGTTATAGTTTTTTTCAATCGCTAACAAGCGCCTACCCATACTTCAGATACTTTTTCTAAACTCTTAACACAGACTCACACCTACAAAAACACAATTGGCCAAATGGATAATTTCCTTCTCAAAAATACACTTTGTTAAATATATACTAACTCCTCATTTCAAAATTAGAACACATCGTTCTCTGCACACACTAACTGTACAAAAACACTATAAATCTGACTCAAAATGAAATGAGTCTGTCAAAGAATAACACTTGTTTTCACTCCACAAGGTACATGCAGTCAATCAAAGTACACCAGGTTTCAAAATACTGGCTATTATTGACATTACAAAAACTGCATAGACTTTTATGTTTCAGTTTTACAGGTATTTGCATGCGAAACATGCAATCCACCATTTTGACACCAGAAATGTTTTGGTTGGTAACTGTATGTCCACATGTACAGTAATGTTCACATTCAAAAGCATTCCAGTAAAAAGCAAACAAGTTTTTGTTTCTTTACTGTTTACCACAGGAGGTACAGTAGAAACACGGTATGATAGGACAGAGAAAGTTTTACAGTATTGCTTACAGTGAACAAAATATCCATGAAACACACAAGAGCATTCTGAACAAAAAAACAACAGCAAAAAGCCAAGATAAAAAGGGGGGGAGGGGGAGGGGGGCTAAAAAAAGGCAAAAAATTTGCATCTAATCTCTGCGATCTTCAGGGTTAGGACACATGTTTTCATCAACATCACATCTGATGTTATCCAAGTCGATGCACCTGGGATAAAACCGCCTGGTATGTCGGATCCACCCTTGGCAATCGTCAACTGTGATGTCCCTGGAGCCAGCATCCATGGCTTCAAGGAGGGACATCTGGTCATGTGGCTGATGGTCATAAACCTTCCACCTCCATGCAGAAAAGAACTCCTCTATGGGGTTGAGGAAAGGTGAATAGGGTGGAAGGAAGAGACTTACCAGTCTTGGGTGGACTTCAAACCATGTTGTTATTGCTTGCAAGTGATGGAAAGCCACATTGTCCCAGGTAATTACAAAGGTCCTCATGTTTTCACCCTCCTGACCCTGCTCTGGAACCAGGCGCTGGTGGAGATCATTGAGAAAGGCAAGCAAGCGCTCTGTATTATAGGGTCCAACCTGACATCTGTGAAGGAGTAATCCTGCATTTGCAATTGCTGCACACATGGTAATGTTTGCCCCTCTCTGTCCTGGCACATCAACTGTGGCCCTTTTTCCAATTACATTTCGTCCACGTCGACGCCTTTTGGCCAGATTGAATCCTGCCTCATCGATGTATATGAATTCATGAGGGGCCTGGTTGGCCTCCAATTCCATAACTCTCTGAAACAAAGTTTATGTAAGTCATGTTATTACTGTATACCATACTGTACTGTAACCTAGTATTGTGTAGGTTACCTACTTGCAAAGTGCAAGGCTTATAGAACTGGACATTGGATTGAATATACACTATACCTGGACATATTGTCGTCGTAGCTCCTTGACCCTCTCACTGTTCCTCTCAAAGGGAACAGTGTAGAGCTGCTTCATCCGCACTCTGTGTTTGGACAATGTCCGCGTAATGGTTGTGAGGCTGATTCTATCGATATTGTCGAATATCTCATGGTCCGCCACAATTCTAGTTTGAATTTCACGCAGTTTTATTGCATTATTTGCAGTAACCATTTCTACAATGGCAAGCTCCTGATCATTACTGAGGAGCTTTCCTCTTCCCCCAGAGGGTGGAAGACGTTGCATTCTTTAGAAAGACAAAAAATTCAACATATGCATTACTGTATGACCATATTGACATGTCAAGTGAGAATAGAAACAATCCATGTAAAATGCAATACTTACCTGTTGGTTTGTTGAAAGATGCGTATAATGGAGGCAACCGTTGACCGCCTCAAATTGGGCTGCACTCTTTCACCAGCCTCTCTTAGTGAAAGACCATGGTTGATTACATGGTCAATGATAGTGGCACGAATTTCATCACTGACTACTGTTCTTGCAGCCCTTGGAATGCCACCACCACGCATTCTTACACCTCTACCTTGCCCTCTCCTTGGGCCTGCTCTTCTCCCTGGGCCCCTTGCTCTTACTCTTCCTCGACCAGACAATACAGTGTTTGTCTTTTTTTTGTTTCCAAAAACATCACTCCTCAAGGTCTTGCCTTATAAACCCCACTGAGTCTAAGCCAGAATGGAAGAAGCTGTGGTTGGCCCAATTTACCCAACATAAATAAGCTGTGTCTCAATTATTCAGTTGTTTGTTTATTATCAGCTGAGATATATTTTTGATATTGATATTGGTTTTGTACTGATATCATTGCAGAAGCAGAGGTTTTTATACTGTATCTAAGGTTTGGAATATTGTTTTTGCTATTGTGGGATGTTGTGTGTTAACATTCGTAGATACTACAAAAACAGTCCATAATTTTGTTGGGAGGTATAGCTTGTCTGTTAAGAAAATGTAAGCATTGTGGAAATGTGTTCACTGACTGCATATTGGGTGAACACGACATGAAATGTGTGAATGGTATGGCCACAACAGACCGATGCTGTGCTAATTGTGTTTAGAGTTTTGCAAATGTGACAACTGTTTGGACAAACGCTTGTTAGCGACTGAAAAAAACTGTATTATCCTGCTTCTGGTCACTATAGATCTAATAACCTGTTTTGGTCACATGATCCACATTGACCATCATCGATGGGAGCAGTCCATGCTCATCTAACTGAAACATTACAGGAGCTTCTTTAGTGTTATAGAATATGATGTATATCATTCACCACTCATTAAATGAATAACCCACGTGTGCCAATTCTTTCCATTCATGTTGAATTTCACTGCCTGAAACTTACATTCTCTCTTTTGACTGCTGTGGATGCTTAAAGAATTTAGAGGTCTGTAAGCTACTGCCGTCATTATCATCTCATTCAACAGTTGGGATTTAATTTTGGAAATTATTGTTCATGTAGAGTAAAAGAGCGGCTAAAGCAGGGAATGATTTAGGCTATGACAAGTAACATAAATGCAGCATTTGTGGTTTCTCGTGTTGTTTCTGATGACATGCAGTGAGAAACCAAACGTTTTCAGAACTGGGTAATGCCAGTCCATCTTTGATATGCAGTCTTTTATTTGTAATATCTTTAGTAATTCAGAAATAAATTATTTTTCCCAGCCATAAACCTAAAACAGAAAATAAAAAGAAGGAAAAGGAAAGTTATAATTGATTTATTTCAATAAGGAGAGATTGTTTGGAAGAACTGAACACGATTTATTGAGCTGCAGAAACTAAGTCTAGATGCTTGTAGTGGTGAAGATGAGACTGAGGCTTGGGTGGAGCTCTGGGTTTCTCAGGTGAGGTTGAGATGTGGGTGGAGGTGGGCTGCACAAATGAGAGTCTTAAAGGGAGAGCGCACAGATTTAAACCACGCAGAGTGAGGGCTGATTGGCTCAAAGACGGCAGGCAAGAAGATGATTGGATTAATGTAATGACATCACTGACAGTGTGGTAAAGTGGTAGTGATGTGAACAACAGACTAGCTGCTGAAGATGCAGGAAAGCAGGCAGATGAGTGATTACAGATCTTCTTTACTGAACTTAAGCATAAGCTTCATTTAAATGCCCCCCTAGAAATCCCCATCGGACTACCTGTAGATGTGCTGATTTTATGGAAGGAACCAAATCTGGTGAGAGAAGGACGAGCGATTGTGATGGAGGGGATAAGAAACATCAGTTTTTTCAGTGGGTCAGAGCCAAAGAGCCAGCTGTCATGAGCAGAGAGGATCCTCAGTGTTATAAGTTGATATTTGATCTTTGTGCATGTCCAAAGTTTCACATGTGGGAGACTTCGGATTGGAGTTGACCAGATTTATCACTAGCTTTCCTAAATGTTTTGATTGTTAAGGGTTTAATAAATGGTGGCTCTTCAGGCAGAGTCAAAGGTCACCTGACAAGCAGAAAAAAGTGAACCATCATGTCTTCGCCTTCCCAGACTGCAGCACCGCCTGATGATGTTGCTGTTATGTCACTGGATAATCCTCCAATGCGTTGATAAAGCCACTTGCACCCCAATTAATTGCGATTAGGCTAAAAGCTCCATTCAAACATACACGAAAAGCCCACTGCTAAAATGATCCCCTGTTACTGTGCCAGTAACAGTCATTGCCTTTGATTAGGTTTGCAGTCTAACTTCGGGTTACCAGATTAGAGGTCCATATATGCTGATTTGTTTTTGCACAGTTTATGTGATTAAATGCCGTGTGCACTCAGTTACAGCTGAGCTTTGAAAGTTAATGAGTTTTTAGATTGAAATCAAATTTTTCAAGATGTCTGTTGTTTTACTTCATTTGAAAATATAAAATCACCTTGAAAGAGTGAATGCAGGGAATTTTTGGCATTATCTTTTTGGAAGCAGGTAGAGATTAGGAGTAAAACTTTTGGTATGTTCAAGGACAATTTGACTTTTGGACTTTGAGACCACAATGATGAGTTTTACTATTACAAAATCAAATATTCTACAAATGTTTTTTGTAGATTTGGTTCTCTTCAAAAGGCAGATCCAAAACCAACATTTGAAATTTGGTACAAGCTGTGAAGCAAAGGCAATTACAAAAAGTATTAATGTTATTTTGGTTGCTTTTACATTTACAATGGCTTGGATCTTTTTCCAGCTATTACAAAGAGTGATGTGTAACAAATAACATGTTATATGAACTATTGTTGCAGACTAAATAAACTCTTTGATGGACAGTTTTCTGTGATGAAAACAATGTTAAAGCCTCATTGTGACACAGTGAAGGTAATCACAATTTTCCAAAATAAAAGTAAAATCAGGCCACCAAAAGATAGAAAAGACAAGAATGAGAAACAGAATAATAACAGAAATTACCAGAAAAAAAGAAGAATACATCAACAAAAAGAATTCACAAGCTGAATCCAAAGACCTCCTACTCAGACTCAGAAAACTAAGACTTAGTTTTCTTTATTGGATTATAAAACAACGCTCCTCAGACAGCTGAGGCTGGAGAATGAAGCTCTGTCTTATAATAATGTTTCGCTCCTGTGTGATTTGGTGACCTCTGTAGCTCTTAGTGGTAAATGCAAATGCAAAAGTATTCTGGGAATAGAAAAACAAACTATTGTTTCTTAATAAAGAATTCAAGACCTTTTCACTTTATGCTGCATGTGGCATGAGTCAGTATAACGCAGGTCACAGTGGAAGTGACGAGTGTGTTCCACGAGTCCCTGCAAATGTTCAACTGTTGCACTGTTAAAGAATGAAAAATGATTATTTTACTGATTTATATTTTGATTCATTTTGAATGAATGACGTGTAAACTCTTTGACAGATTTCTGCATTTCTTATTTTTATTTCATAGCTAAAGTCAATGCGGTGAGGATGTAATCATGCTGGGTGTCTTGGCTCACCAACGTGCTGCAAGAATACCCTGGCTGCTTTTGGATAATGAATAAACATAATCCCATTAAATTTTCTTTCTGAATTTCTAGCAGCAGTCACGTCCATTGTAGGTTAAAGACCCTAAAATATTAGAGAGAAAATCCCAACAACCAAACAACCCAGAATAGGTAGCACATGGCAACAGTGGGAAAGAAAAACTCCCTATTAACAGGAAGAAACTTCCAGCAGAACCAGGCTCAGGGACCAGAAACCATCCATCTGCCCCAACCAGTTGGGGTAAAGGAAGGAAGACAGGACAAACCATTTACTGTGGAAGAGATTAACTAACAATTAAATACAAAAGGGGAGCATTAGGTAGCCTGAGCCTATGGTAGCATAACTAAAGATGGTTTAGAGTCCCCTGATCCAGCCCTATCTACTGTATATGCTTTATCAAAAAGGGAAATCTAATCTTAAAACTTTCCTTTTTTCCTAATCCTCATTCTTTTTTAAAATATCCTAGGAACCAGAAGTAAGTCCGCAGTCTAAGAGCGAAGTGTTCTGGGGTGATTTGGTACTATAAAAATATGATGGGCCCTGATGGTTCGAGACATTGTACACGAGGAGCATTATAAATTTGTTTCTGGATTTATGTCCTCTTTGGGCCTTGTCAGTACTCTGGCTGCAGCATTTTGGATGAGCTGAAGGCTGCTAACAACCTGCTGATAATTCATTATCAGCAGGCTGTTATAAAATAAGTAAATGTCTAGAAGTAATAATAATTTAGTAATTCAGAAGCAGGATATTATTAAGACATTCCTGTATTTTAACTGATTGATGAATGTTATCTGCCTACATGAGTTTCTTCTTTTAGTTAATTTAAAGAAGTCCAGAATGACTGAGAACCTTCACAGACATAATGAATGGTATCGTCTGCATAGAAATTAAAATGTATGTCATACTTTCTAATAACACTGTCTTAGACAAGCACGTATAATGTAAACAGAATTGGTCCTAGCACAGAACCCTGTGGAACTCCATAACTAACCTTAGTGTGTGAGGAGGACTCTCCATTTACATGAACAAATTGGAGTGTATTAAATAGATATGATACAAACCACTGCAGAACAGTACCTTTGATCTGGTCTGTTCTAGTCTTTGTAGTAAAATATTAAGGTCAGGAGT